TTTTTTAAGTTTTTTTATTTTAAGATTTTATTTATTTATTTGACGGAGAGAGATACAGTGAGAGTAGGAACACGAGCAGGAGGAGTGGGAGAGGGAAAGCAGGCTTCCCACCAAGCAGGGAGCCCAATGGGGGACTCTGTCCCAGGACCCTGGGATCGTGATCTGAGCCGAAGGCAGATGCTTAATGACTGAGCCACCCAGGTGCCCCTGCACCATTCATTTTGGCAGCCATTATCCCCCTGAAGTTACTGACTTTTTGAAATACGACCATTCTAACTAAAGAACCGAATTTTTCATTTAATCGTAATTAAACCAGAATAGTACCATGAGGCTAGTGCTATTGTATTGGATAGCACAGCTCTAGAATTTTCCTAAAATGGTCTTGATCACTACACTGTACCTCTCCAATTCGACTCTCCAAACCAAAGTACATAATAGGAAAAGAAATAATTAGAAAATATTAACATTGTAAAGGAGTCATAGTATTAAAAGCATTCCGATTAGCCAGGGATAGAGATGTGATCTCTGTCCCATGGAAACCGAAAAGATTCTTGCTCTCTTACACCCAGCAAAGGGGCAGCCACACAGCAAGAGACATTTGTCTAGAATTTTTTTTTTTAAAGATTTTATTTATTTATTTGACAGAGATCACAAGTAGGTGGAGAGTCAGGCAGAGAGAGAGAGACAGGGGAGGGGAAGCAGGTTCCCTGCTGAGCAGAGAGCCTGATGTGGGGCTTGATCCCAGAACCCTGGGATCATGACCTGAGCCGAAGGCAGAGGCTTTAACCCACTGAGCCACCCAGGTACGCCTACAATTCTTAATTCTATGATATTTTCTTTCTGTGAAATTACCCTCATTCATATTGTAGCATCCTTCTCCTTTCATACCCTTAGTTCTTGAGCTCACTGATGCCCTGGGGTAAAGGGAGGCAAGAATTCCCATTTCTCTCTGTGAGTGGTTTGGCGAACACTCTGGATGCTTCCTGATCCTGGCTTTGTAACTGGCTGGCTGTGTGTCTCTGATTACTGTGTTTGGGCCTTGGATTTTCTCATATCAAAATAAGGGAATTGAATTAAATACATAGGTTGCTCCTAGATGTAAAAATTCCATATATAATTCTTCTAATTGTCAAGATCCTCTAACTGTATGGAGATACAGTAATTTTTTTAGTAAATTCTTGTATTATTAAAAGTATGTATGTAAACCCCCAAATTTCTTAAAAACAAAACAAGAAACACTAGAAGGCTGTGCAGCTTTCATGCTCCTTTTGTGAATGGGTGACTTCACTTTTCCATTGGCTACAAATCGGTAACCTGCATTCCTTAAGATCCTTCATTTGTAGCAGTGGGTGGAAGTGATTTCTATACCCAGCAATCTCAGTAAATTAATTGTCCCATTGAAATAATATGTTTATTTAACATGTGATGGCAGTAGAAGCCTTGAAAGCAAATAACAAAGTTTGAAATGTTAATTTAGAAATATGTTATTGTTTGTTAATATGTATACATACACATACATGATTCTCATGATTTACCTTTGTGCTCATTTTAAAAATAACAAATATTCTATTAAGTTCAGCTAGTTCATTTAAAATATTTTAGGCAAAGAAATCCAGTTGACAAATATTTGAAGTCTCTATCATGTAAAACTATGTTTTGAACCTGTACGTTCATCACATGCTGATTTGTATAATGTCTCTGTCTCTCCCTGAAGGGCACACCACACTGCTCTTCAGCCCGTGATGTGTGTTCGAAACACCTTTCGAAAAAATGTGAAGTTCAAGTCCTACCTCAGACCTAGTCAATCAGTCTTAGAGAATGAGGCTCTGAATGCAGATGCTGAAAGGCTCCCCAGGCTATTCTTATGCATTCCAGAAGTTAAAGAACCATTCTGAAAATTCTTGACAAAAGAGATGGCCTTTACCAACATCAAAACTAGCCTTATAATCATAAATTTCTTTTGTTCTTTCAAAAGTTAATGTTGATTATTTGTCACTCAAAAACATTCAACTACCTCACTCTCCTGCCCTTACTAAGAATTTAATATAAGGAATGTGATACGGGGACTCCTGGGTGGCTCAGTCGATTAAAGGTTTGCCATCGTCTCAGGTCAGGATCCCAGGGTGCTGGGATCCAGTCCCGTATCAGGCTCCTTGCTCAGCAGAGATCCTGCTTCTCCCTCTCCCCACTACTTAGGCTCTCTTTCTCTTTCTGTTTCTCAAATAAATAAATAAAATCTCTAAAAAAAAAAAAAAGGGAAAAAAATGTGATACAACATCTAGGAACCCTAAGAAGTACTTAATTTCCTTACTTAATCTTGTTCTTAAAAGAATTTATGGTTCTTGAAAATTAAATGTTCTAATTTTCTTTCCTTCTTAGATCAGTAAAACTCATGATCATTTGTCAGCATTTAGACAATATAAAACTTCATTTTATTGAAAAATGTTCTAAATCTTCAAATTGTTATGCACCAAAGTTACCGTCATCCGTTATTGCTCATGTTACGGTTTCTCCTAGATTTTAAAATAGTTTTAAATTCTCTTTCATTTGCATAAGCAAAATATAATTTACATTACTCAATATATTTTTATGATAATTACCTTAAATGTAAATTTGAGTATATTATCCTGGGTTTTCCAAGTCATTACACCAATAATGTTCATAGTGTATGACACATGTATTCTAGATACTATATATTTTGGTTCTATTATTATTATTATTATTATTTTTATTGGTTCTATTACATTTATCCTCCAAGAACATTTTTTAGGGCCCTTATTTGTATGTGTTAAAAATGCGTCGGGCTGGGAGAGTTTAGGTAGAGACACTGCTACCTTCTAAAACTCACAAACCTCCATACAATGTGAGAATTCTTGTGAGTGTAGCCTATGAATGTTCTTACCTGAGTGACCTTCCATGTGTGTATTTTATTTTATTTATTTTAAAGATAGTATAATTTGAGCTCAGGGAAATGCTTTCTTTCAGTCATTCATTGCCACATACATTTTTTTAAAAAGATTTTATTTATTTATTTGAGAGAGGGAGAGAGTGAGAGAGAGCATGAGGGGGAAGAAGGTCAGAGGGAGAAGCAGACTCCCCATGGAGCTGGGAGCCCAATTTGGGATTCGATCCCGAGACTCCGGAATCATGACCTGAGCGGAAGACAGTTGTGCAACCAACTGAGCCACCCAGGCGCCCCCCCACGTGTGTATTTTACCTGTTCCTTCCTCTAAACCCTAGGTCCTCTCCATTCAGCTCCTGTAAAGAGGAAGAAAAAATGAGAAAGGAACACCTGCCCTTAGCCATGTTAGCCTAGAAGTGACGTAGTTCATTTCCATCATAGGACCACGCCTGTCTTTGAGAGAGTCTGGGAAATGCAGCCTAGTTATTCTCTCTGAAGAAAAAGAGAAAGGGTCTTAAAAGTGGTCTCTGTGACAGACCTGTCTCTGTTAAGCACAAGCTGTAGGACTCTCGACAGGCTCCTCCTTTCTTTGGCTTCAGTTCTCTTGACTCTGAAAGATGCAGTGACTTTTTCTTTTTGGGGGAACTTTATTAGATGTTTATATTAAAAATACATCTTAAGGGACGCCTGGGTGGCTCAGTGGGTTAAGCCACTGCCTTCGGCTCAGGTCATGACCCCAGGGTTCTGGGATCAAGTCCCGCATTGGGCTCCTTGCTCAGCGGGGAGCCTGCTTCTCTCGCTGCCTCTGCCTGCCTCTCTGCCTGCTTGTGTGTACTCTTTCTCTCTCTCTCTGGCAAATAAATAAAATACATATATATATTTATATATATATGTATATATATATATTTATTTCTTAAGATGCAGTGAGGATTGAGTCAACAAAGCCTTTGTCAGAATGAAAATATCCCTAAAAGTAATTGTGACCAGAATTGAGAACCAAGTTATGACCTTTTTGGTAGTTTATTGCATACCCAATGGATGTTGATTATGCTATTCAGGTGATCTTGGTGGAACTTAGGACTTAGTTCCTAGTAGTAACCTTTTTACTTTTTCACCATTTCCATCAGTAAATTATATGAAAATATAGAATTCATACCTTTCAAATTCTGATTTGGAAATTTCAAATAATTTCTAGATACCTAGGTTAGGCCATCACATTTCTTTTACCTATAATATAAGTTATAGGTTAACTGGGCTTTTCAAGACTGACTAGAGAATCAAATGAATTATTTATAACATTGTTTTTATGTCGGTGTACAATTGACCCTTGAACAATGCAGGAATTAGGGATACCAGACCCCACACCGCCCAAAACCCACATATTATTTTTTACTCCCCGCAAACTTAACTAGTAATAGCCTGCCCTTGACTGGAAAGTTTACAAATAACATGTACAGTCAATGAACACATTTTGTATGTTTTATGTATTATATACTATATTCTTAAAGTAAGCTAGAATAAGGAAAATGTTGTAAAGACTAATATGAGGAAGAAAAAAAATCCATGTATAAGTGGGCCCCCACAATTCAAGCCCATGTTGGTCAAAGGTCAACTGTGTTTAATATCCTAAACCATTACCCTGTACATGAACTGTGGACTATCACCCATTTTTAAGTAAAGGATGGCTTGGATTTATGTCACTAAAACAGTTTAATTGCCTTCCTGCTTTCAAAGAATGATCTCTTATACCCTTAAATATAATGTTAGAGGAGATACGCCATCGTTATGAATATAGCTTGGCTCTTTTTCAACAGGGAAGATATGTTGACCAAAGAAAAGATCTCAAAAATAGACACCTCAAAGAGTATTTATGGTTATTAACTACCAGATATCACATTCACTCACAGTGTGAGTGACACACGTATGATTTGAGCCATCATCAAATTTAAAAGACAAAAAATGATGATGATTACACATTACTATTGACTGGTAGCATTGATGACTTCTATTACACTTAAAGGTTTTTAAAGAACTTGATAGAGAAAATCTCTTCAGTGTTATAGTAACATTTCAAAAGGTGTGTTCTCTTTCTTTTCAGGACTTCCAACAGTAGTCAGACGTTATCATCCTGCCATACTATGGAGCCATGTTCATCAGATGAATTTTTCCAAGCCCTTAATCATGCTGAGCAAACATTTAAAAAGATGGAAAACTATTTGAGACATAAACAGTTGTGTGATGTAATTCTAATTGCTGGTGATCGCAGAATTCCAGCTCATAGGTAATTGTTTTCTAAATCTCTGTATGAGAAATATTTCCTTACTAATTTAGTTATGCATGTTGAGATCATTTGTTCCAACTAACTTTTGGGAAGGGGCATCTTTCATGGGATTTCTGCAAAGAAAACAGTGCATGTGAAATTATTATTTTTTTTTAAGATTTTATTTATTCATCTGACAGAGATCACAAGTAGGTAGAGAGGCAGGCAGCGAGAGAGGAGAGAGCTGAGCAGAGAGCCTGATGGGCTCTATCCCAGGATGCTGGGATCATAACCTGAGCCAAAGGCAGAGGCTTTAACCCACTGAGCCACCCATTAAGTGACCCTCAGGGGTCACTTTGCTTCTGCAAAAACACAGAAACAAAACACACTAGCCTTAGATCGGTCAGTATTGTTCGACAAAGATTTCAGCTCCTATGAGCAGCTTTTCTCCTAAATTCTACCTATTAAATAAGTAAACTCAACAGAAATTAAAGCTCTGAGTATTTAGAAGCAAAAAAGCCAGTGGAATGAAATAGCAAAAACAGAAGAGTCTTAAAATAGCAGCAACTATCCCAACTTCTGTTTGCTGACCTCCAAGAAATATGAAAAGCAGTGATGTTAGGGAACAAAAACCTTTGACACAAATGAAGTTCTATTTTTGAAATAAGAAAAGAGAGACGTTTAATAAAGAACAATTCATTATGTTTCTTTTGATAATCCCATGTTCAGTTATTCCATGTTAATCACTGTTATGACTTCTCTTAATGCTTTTAAAAGCTAATTAACACTCTGTCTCAAAGGTTTTCTTAAGCCTTCCAAAGTGGAAGTGAAATCATTAGGAAAAATGGTCTTGGTTTTAGTTTCCAATGATTCAATGGGCATATGTTTATTGAGATGCTACTAGATACTGTAACAAAAAGTCTGTGTTATGAGCTGGGTTTACTAGAAAAGATACTTCAACCTGTGCACCACAGAGATAGCTAAAATTCCATTTTTCCAAAACAGAGCTCATTAGCTTCCCTTCCACACATGTGTAAACTCTCAGTGTCTCAGTCAGTGCCAGAAACTGCCAACCAGTCTCTCTGCTTTCACTCTTTTCCCCTACATTCTGTTTGCTGCACAGCTACCTGAGGGATCCTTTGAAATGAAACTCAGATCCAGTCACTCCTGTGATCTAACTTTTCAGTGACTCCTCATATCACTGTGAAAGCCCAGTGGGCCATGTGGTGGCCATTGCCTTCTGACATTGTGTTCTTGTGTACTTTACTTGAGCCGCACGGCCCCCATGATCCTTGTATGTGCCAGGCCTGCTGCTCCTGCCTTTGGGTTTTTGCACTGGCTGTTCCTTCTGCCCAAATGCTGTTCCCACATACCTGCATGACTAATTCTTTGCCCAAATGCCACTTTCCAGTCAGACCACTTATTTAAATCCCTTGCCTACTCCCCATTTGCCCTTATCCTACTTTTTTCTCTTAGCAGTCCCCACTCTTTAATGTACTCTAGAATTTACTTCTGCTGTTAATTGTTTATCTCCCTTCCCTCCAGAATGTAAGACTCCCTGAGAGAAGGGATCTTTTATCTCTTATTTATACCAATAACTCAAGTGCCTGGTCCTTATTAGGTGTGAATGTCTTTAGTGAGTGAATAAATGGGCAATTCTCAGAAGAAACCTGAATGGCCAATAACCGTTTGAAAAGATCTTCAGTCTCACTAGCAATCAGGGGAATGAAAATTAAAACAACAATAAGATCCCATTTAACACCTTGCTGATGGCCAGAAATTTTAACATCTGACACTGTTGTGGGAAAATGTTCTCTTGTACAGTGCCGGTGGGGGTCTAACTTGGCACAGCACTTTGGAGGGCTGTCTGGCAAACCTAGGACACGGCAGTGCACTCCTGGAGGGGAGAGGAGAATGAAAGCAGAGAAGAACACGGAGGGAGCTTCAGTGATGATCTGTTTCTATTTCTTAAAATTAAAAAAAGAAATAAAGTGGATTAATATAAATGTGCTGACATGGGTAGATCTCCAAGATGTCAAATAAAAAAAAAAAGCACATTTCAAAATACATATTTATAACCTATTTTTGTTCATATCTGGCTATCAAAAATCTGGTCAGAGATGAACCTAATATATAATAATGTACTATTACAAAAATAGTTTGTAGTTTTATAACAAAATATTATCATTTGATAATAAAATGTGAGCATTACAATAATAATAATAAATCACTAAAGTTATAAAAACAACATGCTGAAACCATCCTCAGATTTCTCCCATATATCTCTTACTTCTACAATTAAATTTAAAAAGGAAAGCACTTAGGTTAGTTCCAAAAGTGATAAACAGAAAGTAACCTTTATATTTTTTCCTTTTTTTTTTTTTTATATAGTCAGTTTCATGCTGTGGCCTTTAGCTTTTTGTCTGAATGTTATGAAGTGATATTTGAGTAATGAATGGGTACATCATTTACCTCAGCAGAAAGTGTTCAATAATGGTAATTTATTATTCCAAGGAAAGAACTAGAGCATAAAGCAATTTGTCAAATTTAAAAGGCATTTCCCGGTACCGTGCACTTTCTGTGGGTAACAAATTAAAAAAAAAAAAAAAAGAAAGAAAGAAAGAGAGAGAGAAAGCAGAAACATTTATTAATGACCATCAACTTTAATGTGGTCACTGATTTTTTTTTTCTTCTGGTATGTTCTCAGATTGGTGCTCTCCTCTGTCTCAGATTATTTTGCTGCCATGTTTACTAATGATGTCAGGGAAGCAAGACAAGAAGAAATAAAAATGGAAGGTGTTGAACCGAATTCACTATGGTCCTTGATTCAGTATGCATATACAGGTAATAAAACTGAAAATGTAAATCTAAAATTATAATAATCTTAAAATTATGTTGCACTATGAGATTTCAGATTTCTGCTTTTAGGAAAGCCTGGCAAAGCTAACAGTGAATCCTGCTGTTGGAATCACCACTGCTGATGATACCTTTATAAAATGTTAAAAATCTCCATATTAGAATCTTTAAAATGGTGGTCATAATTAAGCCTGTGATTGGTATTTTTAATTGTTAGTATATGTGTAATAGTGAGCGCTGTGAAATGTGTAAGCCTGATGATTCACAGACCTGTACCCCTGGGGTAAATAATTAGATGAATAATGTAATGTTTTTAAGTTATTGCATTTAAAATTTGAGCATTATATTTAATAGGTATGCCACTTAAAGCATCATTTAAAAATTCTGAAAAGAAGCCATTTGTTTTTTTACTTTAATAGAAGTCACAAAGAGCTAAAGGGTTTTTTCATAGTTAGTACTTTTCTTTTTTCTCTTTGGACTATCTAAAACCATCTAGAATTCATTTACAGAGCTCTTGTTTAGAATTATTACTGTTAATACTGATTGTTTTATAAATTAAAGTTAATATAGTTCTATGGTAATGGAATTTCTCTTTATCATTTAGGCCGCCTTGAATTAAAAGAAGATAATATTGAGTGCCTGCTGTCCACAGCTTGCCTCCTTCAGCTTTCACAGGTTGTGGAAGCTTGTTGTAAGTTTTTAATGAAGCAGCTTCACCCGTCCAACTGTCTTGGAATCCGTTCTTTTGCCGATGCCCAGGGTTGTACAGATTTACATAAAGTGGCTCACAATTACACCATGGTATGTATTTCCTGAGATGCAGAAAGGCATGTGCTCTTTACCTCATCGCTTCTTGTTGCAGACTTACCTACATGGTGCTGTTTTCCCCTGGCTATGCCACACATCCTGAGGTTCAGGTTCACGGTCTACTGCGTCATATTGTCATTGAGTTACAAGGGGAAACACCAGGTCCTATTTCTCCTGGATATGTGAGTCAAGCCTGAAGTTATTACAGTCTCTAAGAAACAGAGCAGTGGCCTAGGACTGTTCTAATCAAGATTTTCAGATCTGCTGCACTTTAAAGCAGGATTTCTCCGACATTTTCCTCTGTAGCAGTTGGATGAATTTCAGAATTGCCCACATACTCACAGATGGAAATTGGTGACCGCGATGGGGTGGGGGGTAATTGGTGCAGTACAGATGATGGTACAGATGGCTTTTTATTAAAGGTAGATCTGATTATATGTAAGAAGCATTTTTAGCTGTGTAGAAAAATGTGGGTATGGATTGTAGCAAATTGTGTGCTCAAAATAAATTACAGAGGAGGTTCTTGTTTAGACACTGGAGGATAATGGATACAGACTGATCTAGGACAGCAAGAAAGGAAGGGCATGTTGAGTGTATATTGTTAGGACCAGGCCCCACAGTCTTCACAGTACAGGGATTTGGGGAAGGGAGGATATTTGGATTTTTAAGGAATGACCATCTTGTCCCACCGTGGCGTTAAGCCTTCATAGCTGGGCCAAGACTGAGAACTGTTGCTTTGTCTCCTGCAATTAGGCCAGTACACCTCCTAAGAGAAGAAAGAATATGCACACACTAGTTATCCATGTTACTGATTTTTATCAACCTGGAGATGTTTTTACCTACCTTCTCCATCCTTCCATGGAGTTGGCTTCACAGGAAGGGATTGACAAATACTTTAGGAATCTTTCACTACAGATATAGAGATTTTGGAACAATTCTAAGAACAGAGGTTTACGACTATTGGGAAGAATAATTCTACCTACTTCATAAGCTTGATGTGAGGATTAAATGAGTTCATGGAAGTGTAGCACTTAAAATAGTGATTGACCCATAGCATATCCAATCAATAAATGATATCCTTAGCATTGTCCCATCACCGCACGGATTTACTCTGTTCAACACAACAGGGATTGATGGGAGTGAACAAAAGCACTCATACCTCAGGGCGACCTTTACGATTCGTACTCCCCCCTGTGGTATCGTCACTTCTCAGGAATGTTTCTTGTTTATTTTTATTTTTAAGATTTTTATTTATTTATTTGACAGAGAGAGATCGCAAGTAGGCAGAGAGGCAGGCAGAGACAGAGGGGGAAGCAGGCTCCCCGCTAAGCAGAAAACCCAATGTGGGGTTCAATCCCAGAACCCTGAGATCATGACCTGAGCCGAAGTCAGAGGCTTAACCACTGAGCCATCCAGGCACCCAGTGTTTCTTATTTATAACAGTCAGAGATTGTGTGACAAGGCAATGCTATACAGACCTTGCATTTTCTAAATGAAGTCCCATGGAAAATTTTTTTTCCCCACCTCCGTCTTTTATCGTTTCCTTGCAAATTTCTCATTTTAACCTTAAACCTCAGGTTCAAATAATTTGGGAAGAGGACTATAAATAAAATTGGGTTCCTTTTCTTTCATAATCGTTTCATCATTTAAATAATATCCCTTTCCTAGGAAGGAATTTGATTCACATGAAAACATTTCTATGCATTTAGGTCAGCCCGTTGTTTATACTAGAGGCACAGTGGCTGCTTAGACATAAATTAAATTTAAATTAGCTCTTTTTTTTTCTTAATTAAAGCTGGCATGCAGTGTTATTTTAGTTTCAGGTGTACAACATAGTGACTTGACAATTCTATACATTATGCAGTGCCTACCATGATAAGTGCAGTTACCTTCTGTAACCATACAGAGTTATTACAATATTATCGATTCAGCTCAATGTTTTTAAAGCTATTTTCATAGCCAATTAGTTGGGTAGTTTTGTTTTTTTTTCCCCTCAGGGCTATTATTTGACATTCGGTTTCAACAGAGAGGTGAAATTTAATTCTAATAACAGTAAGTCATTTAGAGGCAGACTGTCTGATTTCAATTGTTGCTATGGGAACTCAATGAAAATGTATAGCAAAATTCAATCTTCAATTTAAATAAATCCCTCAGTAATTTCATTTGCTTGAAAGCTAATTCCAAATGGAGAAAGGATGTTTGCTAGCAAGTGTTTGGTAAGGTATAGCTATTTATATCACAAAATAGATTTTGTTTAAGTTTTTATTTTAATGCTAGTTAGTAATACAGTGTTATATTAGTTTCAGGTGTACAATATAGTGACACAACAGTTCTGTACGTTACCCTGTGCTCATCACAACGACACAGGATAGATTTAAAATCTGAAGTAAGGGGTGCCTGGGTGGCTCAGTGGGTTAAGCCTCTGCCTTCGGCTCAGGTCATGATCTCAGGGTCCTGGAATCGAGCCCCACATTGGGCTCTCTGCTCAAGCAGGGAGTCTGCTTCCCTCTCTCTCTCTGCCTGCCTCTCTGCCTACTTGTGATCTCTCCCTGTCAAATAAATAAATAAAATCTTTTAAAAAAAAAATCTGAAGTAAGCATCATGCCACATAGTGAATTCAGTTTCACAATCAGTAAATGGTACACGTGCTTGGAATGTTCACTCCACTTCTAGGAACACAGGTAGGACAGGATGAGGAGTTCTTCCTTGTAATAATCCCGAAATCTGGAAACTTGTTCTCACTCTGACTGCCACTGAATGTGACCTGGCACGAGTCCTTTAACCTCTACCAAAACCCAACACTGGGTGTGTCATTACAAGTATTTAATGGCAATATGGATTTGTGACATAAATTTAGGCATTTAATTTTAAATTTTTGAATTTTGTTTCTCGACCTAGAAAAAACACTGAACTTTGCTAAAATACCTGCTATAAAACCAAATAATAACTTTTGAAAAGCACTTTGTGTTTAACCTTGAGGTCAGTAGTCTTTTAAGTTGCTGAGCCTCGATTTTTCCTTAAAGTGACTTGTATTAAATGGAGGGGGCATGGTTCTGAAATAGAAAATCAACAAGTAAACAATAATATATATAATAGTCCTTTTCTCCTTGATGAACTAATACCATGGCATTGGTAATGCCATTAATACCATCTGAAAGCAAAGCAAAAGTTCTGTCAGTATGCCTTAAATGTTGATCCTTCTATACTCTACCTTTGAGCAATTAGAAATGTGTATTACTTTGATTTCTTGAGAATCTTACCTAACGTTATGTAATAAATCTATTTCCATGTATCTATGTGATCTTTGTTTTTGAAATTTTTAATGCCTGCTTAATAGCCCATTGAATTACAGCCCCCTATAGCTGGACCTTTAGGCTAATTCCCATTTTGTACTATTATAAATAATAATACAGAGAAGCATCATTAGAGAAGCATCAGCTTTCTTTTTCCTCTTGTGAATTATTTATTAAGGATTAAACTGCTAGTAGGATAACTGGGTTGAGAACTTCAGCATTTTTATAGCTCTTACAGTGTGTTACAGCTCGTTTTATAATGTCAGTATACGATTGAGTAGAACGGTTTGCACGAAGCCAACATCGAGGTTTTTATTAAAATATATTTCTGAAAATGATAATCTGTCATTTAAAATAGATGCATTTGGGCATCTTTAACAAATCATGATGAATTGAAGCAATTGAATTTAGTTAATTATTCATGCATGGTTTCCTGTTAAGAATTGCTAAGAAAGGAATGTCAACCCAAGATAGATTTTAGATCAGTACCTAATTTGGGTTACTGCAAGCTATATGGAACCTATAATTCTCATTTTAATATAGAAGATGGTTGCTGGTAATCCTTATCTCTAGATCGAATTTCAATGGCCCTACCTATTTCACTAAAACCATGTTTGCTGAGACAGCCCCAGCACACTAGGAAGTGTAAGAAAAACATTAAGGGACAGTATGTGTAGCATTTGCATTTATATTATAGCTAAGTAAACAGTCCATGCATTAAGACTTGTAACTTTGCACACCAGATAGTAAATTTCCCATCTCCTCAGGCTGTTCAGCATAATATCCTAGTAAAGGTCATTATCTCCCAGCTGAAGTCATTTCTGTTTCCCATTTCAAATTAAAAGGAGCCTGATTCTAGTATGTAGTTGCAACTGAATTATCTTCAGTCCACTGTTCTGGAGTCCCAGTGCCTTCGATGTCAACACTTCTGCTTTGGCTCTTTTTCTCTGAGACCAAAAGGACGTTATACATAAATCAGATTCGTAGTTTTAAAAATAGACCTAAAATCCTGGGTGGTCTCAAGAATTACATTAAAACACTCTTGAAGGCCAATCAGAGCCAGACTAGCCCTAAGGATATGTAGTCTTCCCTGGGCAGTATGAGAAGGCTTCTGTGGTCCAGGTCCTGGCAGCCATTTCTGGATAAGAGAAAGAACTTCCCAGCTCACCTAGGGATCTGGCTGGACATAAACCAAAATCTTCTTCAACCACAAATGTAACCTAACTTGGATGTTAGACTGTCCTGCATCTCAGAGTCTCATTCATTTTTTTCTACTCTCTACCTCTCGAAAGACTTACCAGAACTATTCCCTATCTCGAGTAAAGCAAAGCCTAAGAATCCCAGGTCCATGTATAAAGTGTAGCAAATGGTAGAGGCCCCGGCGTGGCTCAGTCAGTTAAGCAGCCGGTTCTCAATATTGGCTCAGGTCATGATCTCAGGGTCCTGGGATCAAGCCCCACATCAGGCTCTCTGCTCGTTGGGGAGCCTGCTTCCTCCTCTCTCTCTGCCTATCCCCTCTGCCTACTTGTGATCTCTGTCTGTCAAATAAATAAATAAAAATCTTTTAAAAAAATATTTAAAATAAATAAATAAATCTTTTTAAAAAATAAAATGTACCAAACGATAAAATTTAATTCTACTGATATGGAGACTTAGAGTGTAACAACATAATAGCAGCTTAAATGTTATTTTATACTGTGCTTCTTTCCTGGTAAACAGTAATGCTATTGTAGGGAAGCTTTCAAGTATAAACTGTGTTTTGGCATCTAATCCAAAAATGTTTATTTTCTCTTAAACAAACTGATGGACAGAAGGAGCAATATTGTTGAAATGTGCAATTTTTCCCCTCTAGGAACATTTCATGGAAGTAATTCGAAACCAGGAATTTGTATTATTACCAGCCAGTGAAATCGCAAAGCTCTTGGCGAGTGATGACATGAACATTCCTAACGAGGAGACAATACTGAATGCTCTTCTTACGTGGGTCCGTCATGATTTGGAACAGAGACGGAAAGATCTCAGTAAACTTCTGGCTTATATTAGGCTACCTCTTCTCGCACCGCAGGTAAACTGTTTTTTGATTATTTAAAATCAGTATCCTAATTTCAACCACGTTTGTGTATTGATTGTATACTAATCATGTTAATATTACATGTCTATAGTTTTTTTCCCTTTGGCTCTTCTACCAGATAAGATTCTTTTATATATCCTATGAAGTGTGTAAGTGAAAAGATACTTAACTAGAAAATATTTCTGCTTGTGTTTTTGACCCAGAAGTTCTGGCTGCCTAAATTGCATTATAACGTAATCACTTAGGGGTTCGTAATTTTATTTGATTCAGTTTACAAACCTATCCTAGCAATTGAAGAATTAGTAAAGCCATGGGTGAAAGTAGCAGTGGACAGAAAATTTAAATTAATTTAGATTAATTCATTTGCTACATGTTTATTAAGTACCCACTGAATGCTGGATTCTGGTGATTTATAAACTGAGGCATGGTAAGTGTTCCAGCTCTGACATCTTAAAACTCTGTGTCTTGACATATTCATAAACCCCAGGCTCTTCATCTGTCAGGTGGAGATAACATCCTCTTTGACCATCTCACAGGATTATTATGAAGATGAGAAAAGTGCTCTGTACCATCAAATGTGCTACAAATAATCATGGTAGGATTATCAGCATTGTTTTAGAATTGAAAGCTGCCTGGTTAGTGTATTCAAGCAGTCAGTCTGAACACATTTGCATGCATAATTTCCCCTTTATACAGTTCTAACTGGGCTGTACAGCAGTCCCCCCTTCTCTGCAGTTTTGCCTTCCATGGTGTCAGCCAAGGTCAGGAAGCCGATGGTCCTCCCGACCTCTATTCAGGAGGTCAGTAGGATCCTTCCATACATCACAGGCCTATGTCACTCGCCTCACTTTATCTCATCCCGTAGGTGCCTTACCGTCTCAGGTCATCCCAAGAGGAAGGAAAGCACGTACCATACCATTAGATATTTAGAGAGACTGCATTCTCATAACTTCCATTAGTTTCACTCTCCTGTTATTATTTGCTGTTCTCTTACTGTGCCTGATTTTTAACTTAAACTTGATCATAGGGACGTATGTAGAGGGAAAAAAAACATGGTCTATAATGGGGTTCAGTGCTATTTATGGTTTCAGGCATCCATGGAGGGTCAGGAAACATATCCCCGTGGTTCAGGGAGACTACTGATCGATAATTAACTCTGCTGCTTAGCTCGAAGGCTCGAATAGAGCAAGAGGCATTGAAAGTGAAGAAAGAATGAATTGTGACTGCTCAGGGCAAATGTTCATTGTTCAAGTGCCATAAATTTTATCTGCTTTGTGTTTATCTTGAGGATTATGTATTATTTCCAGCAGTTGTTAGCAGAAGCTACTGTGCATTCTCTACCATACAGAGCCAAAGAGTAGTGCTGATGCTTTAGAAGAAAGACGTCCTCTTCAGATGTAGAATGTTATGTGAATTCATAGAAGTGAAACTGCATGAACTGATGACAATTCAGGAAGAATAACGCTGTAAAACGTTTCCCTTGAAATCAGATTTAAAGAAGAAGGTTACGTTTTACGGGTACTTGGCAGAAGTTTCTTTCCTATCCTTTTCTAGGTTAAAGCAAATAAAATCTGAAAAATCCAGTAGACGTTGAAAAGAATCTGTGCGATTAAGTAATGTGATGACTGACTTCCGTCCTGCAGTTTCATATGTTTATGATACTGTATTTGCATGGTTCCAAGAGACGTTCAGCATTTCTGTTATCCAGGATACAGCTGATGATCACAGCCATAAGATCTCAGAGTTGAAAGGTGATCATTTAGCCTAACACCTGTTGTACAAAGGAAGTAACAGACTAAAAAAGTAAAACCATATACTCAAGATCCAAAAGTGATTGTCTAAATTTTGCCCTTCTGCACCGTAGTTTTATTTGCCTTTGTTTCTTGGCTAACCTCGGAGAGCTAGTAAGAGACAGAGGGAGAACTTGAACCCAAGTTAAGTTCTGTGCCTTTGTCACTGAACCAGTCAGCCTCCTGAACATACTCTGTGTAAAATTGCTGGGTCAGGGGAGGTATATCAAGTGGAGGAAGAAATAGATTAAAAAATAAATTTGTGATGACAAAATAATGAGAGGAAGGCTGTGATAGGTATATGAACATGACATTATGAAAGTAACTGGAGTAGCCAGCCCGGGCTCATGGTGGGGAAGCTGGGAGAACTTTCTCAAGTGTTCCTCGGTCTCCATCCTGAGTAGCAACCCAGCAGAGGGGCCATGAGAGCCCAGGAGAGACGGGAGGTTGTGTCTGGTTATGGAGTCTTGAGCAAATACGTCCTACTCTGAACTTCGACGAGGGCTCACCTGGGTCAAGTGTGGACATACATGGGCAATGTGGAGACACAAAGAATCTCTAGTGATGCCAGGAGTTTGCATTTTATCCCAAAAGCAGTGAGGAAACACTAAAACACTAAAGGATTTTAAGCAGGAATTTTAAGCATAATTATCCTTTTATTTAGGAAGATTCTCTGCGTTGCGGAGACTGGATTGGAGCGGTCCAGGTAGAAATCCATTAGGAGGACTGTTGGATTCAGACAAGTGAATTAGGTGCTCTTGGGCAGTGAGAAATTGCCAGGCTCAAGAGCTATTTAGGAAGTAGAAGTGATGCACTGTCGTGACCGATTGGAAGGTGTGGGGTACCAAAAAAAGAGGGATCCTGAATGATTCTGATTTGTGCTGTCAAATAAGGCAAATACAGGAGGAAGAGCTCTGTTTCAAGAGAGGAAGAAAATAGAAGAATCACGTTCCCAGAGCTTCTTGGTACCTTTAATCCTCTCGGAGCCTAGGAAGAAGTTTTGAGAATTTCTTGTTTAGGTTGTCACAGCCAAAAGGAAGAGAATGACATGGCCCAAAGAGAACACAAGGGCACCACAGGTAGTAGTAATTAGTGGTAGTTAACCCTGCCTAAATAACTCGGGTGCTCTTAAAAAAAGATTCCACGTTCAAGGAGGAGGAAATTCTAACAGCAACAGATATGATAGAGGAGACAGTCAAGGACAGAAGATCCCCTGGATTAGCCCATTTATTCTCAAAGTGTGGTCCCCAACTCTAGGATTTGCACCACCTGGAAAGTTATTTAATATACAGATTCTACAGCTATAGGATCCGAGCCTCTGGTGGTGGGGCCTAGCAGATTGGGCTTTAATATGCCTGCAAGTGCAGTGAACTTGAACACTGAAAAAAGAAACTGAAATTTAAAAAAAATAATGTGCCTGTAAGTGGATTTGAAGCACACTCACGTTTGAGTAGTGGGGACTGATGTCACATTCCCTGTATGATTCAAATAAGTCACTTAACCTCTCTGAGCCATGTTTTTCTTTTCTGCAAAGATAATAACATGTTGCACTATTGTGACACTTAGAGATACTAGTAGGAGTGGTTTTTTTTTCTTTCCTTGTTTTTTTTTTTCTTTCCTTGCTAAAAGTGAAAGGCAAGTTTGCAAAATGGTAGTTATCAAGTGATGAAGTATTGAAGTAGACCCAAATCATCAAGAAAACATTGCTTGTATTCTGGACATTTTTATTGTAAAAGGTAGGAAAATGTGACACTTATTTAAATTGTCCGGTGGGTATCAAATAATAAGTAACTAATATGAACTGGCCATCAGGTCCAGTTACCTAAAGAACTTACATTTATAAATAGGTGAAGGGGATTAGGAATACACTTATTACCACGATGAGCACTGAGTACTGTATAGAATTGTCAAATCACTATATTGTACACCTGAAACTAACATAACGCTGAATGTTAAAATTCTTAAAAATGATAAATAAAAATTTTAAAAAGAATCCACTTTTGTGAAATAGTTCCTTCCTCGGTGAACTTTTACTCTTCTCTGTTAATATGAAACACCATTCAGTCAAGCTATAAAGGATGCAACTTAAATATATAGTAAATCTATTATAGTGTCTCCCACAGTAGATCCTTGAAAAGGCCTGAGAAATAATATATGTAATTATCATCCTCTGCCAACTGATCATTTAGTGTGGTTGGTTGTGGTGGCTTTTTTTTTTTTTTTTAACTCTGAATAATCCAGAAGATACATTTTTGTGGTTTTTTGTTTTACCTTTGAATGCATTACAGGCTTTTCTATTTGATCGAATGTTAAATGTGGATAGGACAGATGTACATTACTTAAAATATTTTGCCACCTAAATTCTTTTTTTTTTTTAATAAAGATTTTATTTATTTGACAGACAGAGATCACAAGTAGGCAGAGAGGAAGGCAGAGAGAGAGGGAAGCAGGATCCCTGCTGAGCGGAGAGCCCGATTCGGGGCTCGATCCCAGGACCCTGGGACCATGACCTGAGCCGAAAGCAGAGGCTTTAACCCACTGAGTCACCCAGGCGTCCCGCCACCTAAATTCTTAAAGGTCCCAGTGGTTAGCTTGTATTTTAAGTATCTTGGTTTTCACTATTCTGTGCTCAATTCCCATTACTGTTTTCTATTGAAAGTCAAAAATATAAAATGAGCCAGGATTTACCTTTACTGTTCTTTAATGTGCATGTTTTTGATACCAAAACATTTTTAAAGCCTACAGAATTCAGAAATTATTCACATTCTATCTTTTACTTTAAGTAGTATTGGAGGGGGCAGTTTTAGAGAAATAGTCATATGGAGATTAAGTATGTGAGTGAAGATAAAAATGTACACATTGAAAATGTTTCTTCTTTTTTCTAAATGCCTTCATGTAAGTAATTTGTCATTATCTAAGGGCAGAGAAGACATACCGTGTTCATCTAAAAGGCAGAGTATCCAAGAGTCTATAATTTTTAGTTCTCTTTCATTGCCTTCTGAATGATTTTCTGAATTATTTCTGGTACTTTCTATTTGATTAATCTGATATGGATCAATGGCTTTATATTCCCTTCTATTATTCTCATCTCTCTACTTAAATATGATTAATCTCATTTATTCATAATGTATAGAGACTGTTAACATGTTTAAGAATATCCTTTACTTCAGGGCACCTAGGTGGCTCAGTTAGTTAAGCGTCTGC